CATAAACGAGAGATTCCGTTGAGACTCTCGTGAAAACCAAATTGGTTATCAGTTCTGTTTATGGCAAAACATGCAGAAATAATCTTATACCGCCGGGAATTCACCTTCTGGAATTTTCCGGTCCGAAAAAAGCAGCTGAGTGTATTCAGTCAATCAATTTCGACGGCGGTGGAATGTCCGAATAGTTAACATCTGGTTTCACCCTTTCTGGAGTTCAACAGGTATGTCCTGTATCCGAATATCTACCAGTCTTTTTTGTGCGTGAACAGGAATCGTACGCTTGTTTCGATTCACAGTCTTTTACAATTTAAATTGACGTTGGCGGAAAACTCCACTGAAATTCAAAACACTCATCCGTTCATGGGGATTCTACTGTGCAAACAAATGATTCTCGCCATATACGTACTATCCGTCGTTCAAGCCAAACATAAGTTCGGCTAATAGGCCAGTCTGTTGAGCCCCAAGAATGGTGGGACCGAAAGTGGGCTGTTCAACGCCATACGTATTTGTGTGAAGAAAAATACTTCTGGGTCTTGAATATCAGTCGATCATGGAAATAAGAGCCTCCCTGAAACAAATGTAGTTGGAGACTATTGTAGACGATGAGTTCATCTGGATCTTTGATGGTATATATATATATATATATATATATATATANTATATATATATGTATATATATATATATATTCGTCTGAAAAGCTGGCGCAGCTAAGTTATATGGTAGGCGACTGAGATGAAACCCTAGTTTACTTCCACAACCACAACTTGGTTTTCCACGAGTGCTGGTCAACCCGTGCAAGGTGGTATTTGTTAGCAAACGATGGTGACCGTATGGTGATACTGATCAGCATTACTTTGACAGCATCTAAGTCAACCTAAATTCGAATCATCCACATCGCCACAAACGACTTCCGAAACTTCCGATTAGCCTTGGCAAGCCGTATTCCAGTATGTTTTTTATTTTGCTGGCGTCTGTCTCCGTCCCATACTGTGAACAGGCTGGATCAGGGGTCCTGCTTGCCTCACTCTTCGAATAAACTTTTCTGTTTCGTGAGCCTCCCTCGCCCTAATCGCCTTGGAATCCAGCTTGTAATGGGTCAGGGCTGTTGGCCGAGGTACACGCAAGCAATGAAAAATTCAGAACATTTAAAATTTTGAACCGTGCTGGGTTCACCGACTGATCGATTTTTGAACGGTTGTTACTGGAAAATTCCTGTAGCGTTTGCAAGTTACGGGGAGCGAATATCGTCTTGGTTAATAAATTTGATCTTGTTCACAAGGGGAAATCGGCAGCCACACGGGCACAAAACGGGGCAGTACCTGAGCTCTACATTTTACTAAAAGAATAAGTTTTAAAAGCGAAATTGCCATCTTCGTCCGTTTGGCATATCAATGATATGTGTTGGAGTAGTTAAGTCTCTTCGGCGAGATGTGACAAGTTACGAACGTCTGCATCGAAAGATTGTGATTGCAGTACAATACGGTAATGAATCCCTCATCGCTGCCAAATGCTGAGGCCACTACAACAAATAGGCAGCCGGGACAGCGGCTATTGATCTCACCACTAAAACGGTGAGATCGCCAGCCAACTTAACAATAGCATGGAACTGGAGAATGCTAGGAAGTCGTCTGCAAGAGGCGTGTTTGACATTGCCACTGCCTCAGTTTACCGAGGCATACTAAGACGTATGAGAAGTTAGGCACGACGATGACAATTAACTTATGGTTGGCCGGCGTATTTGTACATACTGTTGACTGTTCCGACAAAAACGCACTTATTTTGGTAAACAATCCCTGTAAGGCGTGCACAAACCACTTTTGTTTTTAATTCTCACTACTGAAAGTAGCGTAAGTAGGTAGAGTGGTTCACCCATATTTCAGACCACCTACACGGCGTTCCCCGGCTGTGGTGAAATCCGAATTTGATTATAAAAGCATAAATATCCCTCATTGGTTTATTGAGCTCGCGAACCCCTCCGTAAACACCCATTTGATTTACGCTCGATTCACTTACACTGTCTGGGTTTGTGAGCGTAACTCAAGTATGAGAAAATAAAACTTCATCGATTGAAATCAACTTTAAAGGATTGTGCCGGATTAACTCGACAAAAGTCGAGGAAACTGCTTACTGAAGGGCAGTCGATGGGACACCATTATTGAAGTATCGAAAAATCGGAGACTCTAGATGACGAGGGTAAGTCGTCAGTAAAATTAACGAAATATCTTGAAAAACTAATTTGGTTAGTCATTGAGATGTTGTCTAGTAAGAGCGTTTAGCTTGAGTGTCCAATGAAGGAGAGAGTCGCTTGCTCCAAGCCTGAACGTCAGCAACTTCCTCAAAAACGCAAACCGCTATTCCATTAACGTGTGTAACCAACAGAAAAGAGGTGCTTAAATTGCCAAAATAACAGTATTTTGTGGGACAAAGTACAGTGGCTATAACTAGCATTGTGGAACGCGTGGGATAGAAATATAACCCCTGAATCTGACAAGCGCAGGCGGACATTCGTAATTATGCACGAAAGTTTTATTCAGCTGTAGCGTGAAAGGTGACGGACCTTCTCCATTAGTTCTGAGTTAAAGGGATCGTTCGAAAATAGATTAATGTGGCGTGATCCTTTCCAGAAAAATTTCGACAGTTCAAGTGTAGTTGAGGCCTCCAAACAACAGGAACCGCACAAAACTGCGGTTGCCCCGGATAACCGTCGTACAGATCTTTGTTAAAATGCAGCCAACAACTACTGCACCAGTAGCCAAATCTACAGGCATGAGAACAGCTTGGTTCACAAAAAGTCTATGAGGAGATCAATATGGTCTTATTGTGGACTAAGTTACCACTTTCCACGTCACATTTGCTTCCTGTTACTTTCGTTATTATGGCTGAAAGTAAGATACTCAACTGTTGCTAATATTTGGCCATTCTAAAAACAGAATAACCCTATGAAGGTAATGAATCGGGCTATTGCTTCTCAAAGATGCTGTCAGTCAGCACATAGATGGCTGCTTAGTGCATTCAATTCAGTTTTTAGGTTGACTTCCACCGACAGCATCCGAACACGTACAACATTCCGTGGGAGCAATATTCACCGCCTCCCATGAAATGGCGAACATCTTACGGTGGAAAAATTTGACACAACTAATAAGATGAACTGAAAAGTGATATGAGTGTGTATTTTAATGCAATAGTAATGCTCATTTTAATATGGTCATGCGTGAATGGTTGAATACTGTCAACAAGCCTGTACCTTTGTGACCCGGTTACCTTATTCCATCGGTTTAACATTGGAGTTACGGACTGATCCACAGCAGCATATCCGGTTACTTGCAAACTGATGGCGTGCATGGTGCGACCACCGTTGTCAGGCAGACCCGTACCACTTTTTCTAATAGTGTTTTTTTCACAATCGGTACCTTATTTTATGCTTTAGTTGGGTAACTAGCTCCACAGCGTATGCTGCCCTTTTTAACCATGACGAATCGTTCAAAAAGCAAACTACAGATTATGAGGATCTTCGGTTGAGACAATTAACGAGCAAATCAGCTGTGCCCCCAGTTGGAGGACAGTTAGACCAAGGTGACACTAGAAACTTCACACAACACGAACGCAGCCATCAGGATGGCCCGGCCAACGACCACGCACATACATCTAATGCATCACAATCTACGCACATATCATTTGCGTCTAGGTCGTGCCTAGCACGCGCGTATTGGATGCAATACTCGCGACCAATAAGTTGTGAACCTGGTTCACAAAGCCCATTCCAAGTGTGAAATAAGGAGATAGGTCTGCAAGTTATCAAGCGTGATTTCCAGAGGACTAGTCTATCTATTTGACTGAATGAAAGTTCGTCAGTGCTATTCGAGAGCTATACTGCATCGCGGGATACCTTGTGGACTTGCATGCATTCTTTAAAGGCTTAGCGTGACTTACAGCTAGTGGATACTGATGTCTTTTCCTTTTAAATGCAGCTGTTAAGTGGGTTTTCAAAGCCCGCAGAATAGGTTTGATGGCGCTTTTTCCAAAAGTCCTGTATATCAGTCCTCATTCCGTTGCCTCCTGTTTTCTGAGAATGGGTTACCCTTTTCATTCAAACCTCCACGTCTTTCACAACTGAGCAAGTAAAAAAATAAGTCGTGAAAACTTCACGAGTTCATACTGGATGACTTTTGTCATATGTACACCCCAAGTAACACGTATGGGACAATCCTTGTTTAGTAGGGGAAGTTCAGTAACGTTTGTAGGTGTGACAGACAACCAACCAGAAATAAAATTTTCACTGTGTGCACAAAACCTCACAGAAACCCTAGTCATTTCCTTCTCTGAATCAAGTTCGTTTGGTACCCTTTTATTTGTGAAGCAGCACAATAAGGCTTTTTCTGGCTTAGGTGGATGGAAAGGTGAACAATGGAGTAAGACCTTGGATAATATCCTTCCAAGGTCACCGACCTCACCTATGTAGGTTGTTTACTCAACGTTCGTGATGACCTGGCAGCGTGACTGACATTTCAGTCATAGAACACTCACAGGACAGATATCGATGACGGCTTGCCTTGAACAGTCAGTTATTACAGTGGTTCCATAACCCAATGAATCTCAGGCTATCCATCTCTGTAATCAACGATGGCTGGCGCTCAGAGTTACCAATGTTAAGACCCAATCTTCGAGAGCAATCTCGGACCACTGCTAATATACAATATACTATCGAACAGGATCTTGACTGCCGGCATAAAACATAAAATTGAACAGCAAAGTGTTTTCTCACAACGGCTCAGTGTAAATTGTGTACCTTCGCTTTGTAGTTTCAACGCATGCATACCTGAAGGAAAACCCTCACTTGAACTTCCAGCTTGGTCTCAACGACATCTGTACGGCTTAAGCACGATTACTGAAATATGCACACCAGAAAAAATACGCTTGCATTTTATTAAACGAAAGTACAATAGGGCTTAGATGTTATCCAGCTGTTAACTCTTTTTCCCATCAAATAGATTCCACCCAATTAAAGCACGGTCACACGTAAAAGAGCGCCCGAAATTGCGCATACGAGAGTTGCTGCCAGACAAAGAATAATTTTTTCAATTAATTTTCCTTCGTTAATCAATTCAGTAAGAACCCCGACCATGAGGTCTCTCTTGTTCAAATGAGGATAGGTAATATCAGGTTGTGGGAGATTCAAAAATTTGCATAGCGGTCCCCATCCAGCCTCAGGCTGGAATATAAGAAGGCGATTGCGATCTACGCTTCGTTCAACTTCGTTAATCCAATTAGAGTATGACGTGATCAGCTCCCCATCTGTCATTGTTCTGTACTCTGACCCCAGCGTTCTGGCAAACATGGTGTGGTGTAGTTCTGGCAGGTGAAGAATTCCCCGACGCCAATAGGTCAGCCGATCTCCAAACGTGGGCTTTTTCAACATATCCGCTGATAGCATTGTTGCACGACAACTTTTCAACCAATCCGTTGGTGCTCGTGCTGTCAGAATAAGCTAAATTTGGAAAAAATAAAATAAAAGGACGGGAGAGATAAGAAACTAAAAACATCGTTTTAATTAAAGTAACATGGATGTTGGGGATAGCGTAAAACAATTCTATAGGGGAACATGCTGTACATTTAAGTGAAGAAGGCAGTGCTCGAAAATTTTAAAAATTGTCCGTTACCACCGTCGAACTTTCGAGTAAGCTGCATTCATTGCAGGAATCATCCAGTGATATATAAACAACTTACACATCCAAGTCTTAGTTTACCTATACAAGGCAAAGTTGAGATTAAGCATTCCGCGACTTTTAAAATTATGGGGTCGAGATAGTTTTTCTGAATAAAGCCAACTTGATGATATCTAATTGCTCGCCCAATGCAAGCCTGATGTGAATCTGCTTGCCTCAGCAACATATTCAGCTACTTGACAACACCGTAAACGAGAGATTCAGCTGAGTTCCATGTGGGTCTCCCGTCAAAGCCACGTTGATATGCAAATGAGTGTATTTGGAGCTTTAGCTAAGCTCCGTTAAATTAGAAGCATCAGTATTACTATCCCCATATTTTGCTCTCATTCTTTACCACCTTGAAAATTAGGAACCTCCTCTGTTTGATGCGCCTTGCCTTGGAAATCGTGCATCGATTCAGCTGTAGCCATGCCACCCGAAGGAAGCACGAGGGCTGGGATACTGCCAGGTTGCCCAAGCCTAGACAGGGGAAGTCGAGAGGCGGAGGTCGGATTCGAACCACGGACCTTCCGGTCAGTAAATTCGCGCTCTAACCACTTGGGCTATCACGCCCATCGATCGAGTGAGCAATGCACAGTATTTATAACCAGTTTGATCATGTTTGATGCTTGTCAGAGCACGTTTACTTGGGACTCGGTAACTGAAAATAACACAGCACACCTAACAGTATCGGTATATCCGGTACACCTAACAGACTGGCAATCTACGTGGAAACAAGTTTCATGACCTTCATTTAGCGTCGCTGGTTTTGAACCCGATGGGCCGGCTCTAGTTAAGGCGGTGTGCGTCTACCGATTTGCCTTCAATATGGATTTCAAAATTGTATCGGTCCCTCACCCAGTGTAGCGATAAAAATATTGTACCTAAATGTTCCCAAGCTTGACAGCCAGTTTTGTTTGACCCAGCTCATAGCTGGGTTGAATGAAACAAATCCATTGACCACAAGTGGTTCACCCTTCAGAAGCCCAAGAGGACTCCCGAGAACGTCTACAAGAAATACCTTTAGTCAGCTACCTTGTTTGCATTCGGCTGGATAAAAATTTTACTTCCAAGAACATCCTTCGCAGATGGATGTTAGTTTACTTGACCATAGGCTAGTTAATTGAGCTGCACGCTCACCTTGGCTTCCGGATAGACATCCATTAACTGTTTATAGAATGCACACGTCGGGTAGTCTATCGCTGCACAGCAATTTCCGTATACCGCATCCCAAAATTCGCGTGGGATGTGGCCCGCCGTTATTGCGGTTTGGTCAAATGCCCACAACCACGCCTTGATATGTGCTTCTTTGTGGCAACCAAAGACGTCGGACATGTGATAACACGGGCGGTCATAAAGCATTTCTAATGCCTTCTTCAAGCTCGTCGTTCCTGTTCGCATCAGCCCGACGCCGATAACCAACAACTTGCTTTTTTCAGACGACCGGTGGCCTGATGCTGATAGTCCAGGAAACAGACATGATGGATTCAGTTTCTCTGTTTTTTCTCCTAAAAGTAAATGCAGAGAGTTGAGCAATCTTTAGTTCGTTGAACGTGTTTGAGTTTTAGTGAGTTATTTACAATGATTAATTGCAAACATTTTGTCACTCTCCTTCTATTTTGGCTACATTGATCACTTGCGCTACCAAAGATGCCTGGGGATCACTTAAGTACCACCCCATCCTGTCGGATTTTATGCCAATTCAGTTTGAATTTGCTGAATTCTTCAATATTCCTCTACAGCAGGCGGCTAGTCACATTAGTTCTGAATGCGTCAGGACGAACACAAACTAGAATGCACCGATTCCGCTTGGGAGGGTCCTTTTTTGAGGGATACTCTAGCACAGGAACACAATTCTCTTTTGTCCTGGTGTTTTCAATGTGTAACATCCATCAGGATAAATAGAGTACTGTGCATGATAGAATGATTTATTTAAAGCGGTCTTTTACAAGCAGAACGCACTAGGAATAGTTCTGGTCGTTCAAATCACCCGGGCGTGTCCAACATGTTTCAGATATACCACCGAATCTCAGTAGACAACTGGCCATTTAGATATGGCCACAAATATAGAGCACATAAAAGAATTTTCTCGGCAATCACACCATCGACAACTGAACTTCGTTTGCCCTGTTTTTGATGGGAAGCATGTTACTAGAGATGACTGGAATATGAATCCCATATTATTAGGACATCAAATAAAGGCGATACAGCTGAAGCCATAAAACACTCCGTTGGAGGTTGTCTTAAAGAAGAAAGTCTACATTTTTCAAGTAGATGAACATGCACAGAAGTTGGTCAAAGAAAAGTGCCCAATAAGGATATTACGGTGCGCGATACACCGGCAGGAGCAACAGCTAACGTAACAAGGATTACGAAAACGCTCTGTGAGTTGCCTCTTATCCATGGATAAGTTGTTGAAATCCAACAGCTCGGCTGGTAACTGGGCGTAAAGAGTCTGAAGAAAGCACCAAGAAGAAGTTGGTCGAGCAAAACGAAAGAATATGGAATTTTACTAAAAATCAGATTTTATCTCTCACTTCACTGTGACTTATCAGATGAGATGACACCTTTAAATGAGGCCCATGACTTTTTGGAACGGGCGAGGGAGCAGAATAAACATGTTTATGCTGTCGAAAGCTTTTTGTACAGCTGTGTGGTGGAGAAAAAACACATAATAGTGTGAGAAAACTCCGCAAACCAGAACCTGAATTTATCCTGGCTCATTTCTGTTCGTTATGGAGAGGATTAGCTGTAGATCAATTTCAAGCAATATATCCAGCATTATTCGCAAATGTGCTTTCATTATTCTAGCTTGAAGCTTGGATCTGATTGCTACTCATTTGCAGAACCTCCATATTATAGCGACCTACCTTTTAAGTTGTGGAGCCATAGGTCTATCTAATGCGTGTACCTCTCCATCTAAGGACACAAGCTACTTTCAACGCGGTCATCCTACATAGTGGAGCTGACGATTCATTTAAAGAATTGGCAACCAATATTATGAAATGGTCGAAACCATAAAAATTGTTCTGATAGACAACGGATACATAAAAAGCATCAAAAGGAACGCTCAACTTTAGTCTCTGGCATCATTCGACGAGTTTTACACGAGTGCTGCATTAATCAAGCGCTAATGTTCAGCTGTTATAGTTAACCGGCATATAAATTTCGCGGATGCCACAGTCGAAACACGCTTGTCTCGCATACCAGCATTGTCAGAGCCAAGGATATTTATTGTTGATTTGTCTCAACAGCAGTGAAACTCTGCTCCAATGCTTTCTTTCTTTGGTGCGGACTAACGGAATAATTCTGCTAGGACAGGGGAAGACTGTACAGATGGAAGTGATGTGGATAGGAACAAAAGAATGGAGTGGACGGTACTTCGGTAGCTGGGGGTACTTGTTGGATATATAGAGTTCGTGGATATCCGAGCAATGATTGCTCGGTGGATCAACAAAAAGATCCTCGCGACTGACAAATAGAATAGTTACAGTTAGCTATACATTGCACTAGTGGGCCGTATTCTTGTGGTTTCAACCAAAAAATGCATTTAGATTTTAGGTCGAAATAGCACCATTCCTACGATAAAGTTAACTGTCAGTCATAGGTTTGGGCCTTCCTGTGAAAGTGTAGTGAATATGGTATGCTTAGAAGTGTTATTTCGGGTTGCCTAGGCGCCTCGGAGAATATTCTGTATGATCGCTACAGGTAACCAAAACACGGTTAGATGGTACAGAGCAAAGAGATGGAAAACGTTCATCCTTGGTATCCTTATAAATGATACCACTCATTGTTGTAAAATAACAGTTGAACATAGTTGAAAACAATAAAAGTCCCCACATGATGTGGGGAGGGTTTTTCAGCTGATCGTTGCCAACATTTTGGGAACCTTTGAATTATATCCAATGCAAATTTACCACGAGTGCTCGCTTGTAAACAATCCGATCATATAGTGGCAGATGGTCTCATTCCCAACAACAAGAGAGCACGCATCTGGTTTACAAAATAAGATACATCTTACAAGGCCGGATCTCGTAGCGCGATAGCCCTCTGGTTCGGTCAGTTTGAATGGTCTTCACGGAAACCCACTGATATATGGTTTACCATTCATTTGGTCTGTCAAATGCAAAAATGATGTGCCCACTAACGACTTCTCCTCGAATGATGACGGGACTCTTACAAACCAATCGCCAGACTCGGTCAACGGATCAGCATACATCTGATCGAAAAATCAAGCATTGATGCTGCTGTCAAGCTAGAATTTTGGTAAGCCTGACGAGACATTTCGTTTGTGGTCAACCGAAGAACAGTCATCAGAAAAGTGCGCTCATAATGCACGAATCCCAATGACGACGGAGGTTAAGGTTAGGTTTCAGGGCGTCGGAATAAAATGAAGGTGATATCTTTCATCACTAATTATAGATAAATCTTCGTCATATTTCTCTGCGCTGTAACACAAACGTGAACTTGGAAGGGTAAGTCTTTGAAAGCATCTGATGTATTAGGGTAGATTATATGAGCATTTAAACGCCACAATAAAAAGCCGGTAGAATTTTACTTACCTTTTCTGAATCCCATGTCCTTCACTACGTCTTCGTTCTCCATTATAACGGGACACTGAACAGCGATCGTGCTGCCGGATTTACCCCAAGGTTTTTCAGCTCTTCTTTAGGCCAATATCAACGCCGTGTCCCTAAACTCTCCAGTCCACCTAAAACACACATTTTCCGTACCCCTTAGTGCATTTTAGCACGAAATCCGCACCACATATGGCGCAAGGTACTGTGGCTTCATTTGCCACCACGAGCTTCGGACCAATTGTTTGTCAGAATTTTGTTGACAGGTTCACTACGACGTTTGTGGCTGGACGTATCTTGTAGCTTGCACAGTCGGAAGACCAAACGATTGGCCGAATTGCAGAATCCTTACGGGTGTAACAATAGAGGCCTCCGCTTGGGGTCACAAAGCGTGCAAGTTACTAATGGATTCGATACGATTAGCGCGCCCTGAATCAGGTCAATTGCTGGCTAGTTGTTATAACAAAAATTTGACACTAGTATAGAACACTGTCAGAGCGGATGTGATTTAAATGCGAGATCATGCTTTAGAAGGCTCGGGAATTTAACCAGGTTGTAAGATTGATACCGACCACTGGAGTTAAAGAAATCGATTTACTAGGAACAACTCCAAGAACAATTCGAAAAGTACTGAACAGGCGTCAGTGAGACATTCGGCAGACCATCAGGAATATTTCTTCTTATGAATTTTTGTCAGTATAAGGGTAATGAGATCAATGGAATATTCAAACCGCAATATATACACTGTATTTTGTTACACCCTACTACCTACATTATTTGCGTTACCTACAGGTCTTATTTTACTTTAGTCGAGATACACACAAGGATACGACAAAAGAACAATTTTCAGCTCGTCGTTTAAAATGCGTTCCCTCGCATAAGGAAAGAACCGAATTAATCCAATCTAACAATGGGGTGTCTGCAATCACCATCCAAGCATCTGTCCTCTTTCTACCCCGTCTAATGAAGTACTCATCTCATCTGCCTAGATGCTGTCTACTGCTGAAGTACTAATGCCCGGACCATAAATGACTGTAAATTGAAACGTTCTAACTCTCACAATGGACTGCCGAGTTCGTAGGTTTACACAACTGTAATATGTCTAAAATTGACTAAATATCCTCCAGAAATCCTTTCACTGCACTTAATCTGCTTGGAATTTTGCGTACATCACTTCTTAGTTATTAAATCTACCTGTAAATGAAGCCAGTCTATTCTGAAAAGCCGAGAAGAGTTGCATAGCTGTTCCATCTCTATTGTCAATCATCAGCAGTGCGCATCTCACGAAACTCCGAGGATTCTCGAACTAGCCAGGGGGCCGCGGGTTCGAGACTCGGAGCTTCGTGAGATGCGCACTGCTGGTGATTACCAATAGAGATGAAACAGCTGTACAGTGCTTCTCGGCTTTTCAGTATAGATTGGTTTCACTTATAGAACGGAATCTCCTAAAAAACTCGAATCTCCTCACACTACCAAAAATATTAAATCTACCGATTGGACAGAAAGGACGTTTCCCTCTTTCAAAAACCTATCCATTCAGTCATTAACGTTGGTATCATTGTTTTGAAGTTTTCAAGTCAGAAGAGGGTAAATCAGCTCTACTACTTAACTTTTAAAAAATTGAATAGGCTATCAGAAAGGCAAAAGGTCTCAAAGGCTGTCTACTTACTTCAACCTAATTTAATAATTAATCATCCGAGTTAGCTGGACAACTGTGCAAATCAACACGAAAGAAACTACCGAATAAGTAATTATCCGGAGGGTTGAGCTACTGGGTTGTTAAAAAAAGTATCTCAGCGCACGGCGATGCTTTTTCTGCGAGATGTAGAAATGCTTCGATTTGAAGCCGCAGGGGGTAGGCGATTTAGTGCATCGAAAATATCAACCATTCTCCAAGATATTGCATGCAGACTTATGTTATGGTCAAAGAACCAGTAGGAGAGGAATGTTAGCCAACTTGAAAACCAATCGATGAAGGTAAGATTACCGGGCTTGAGCTAAGTGTTAACTCAAGAATGGGTTAAAAACTTTCCTTAAATATTTCTAAAATTTTCTAGTCACATATTAAGGAGGTGTTATTGTGATGGTGGCGTGGCCGTGGTCTTCAAGCTTTTACGTCCCTTGGATGACTGGAATAACCTGGGATAACCTTCTTTAGTTAGTTGGCAGATCGCCTAAGATGGATTTTGAAGTGGATGTACATTGGTTAACTCGGAACAGCTGTTCTTCTTGCGATTGACAGACCAACAGTCAACAGTGACATGAAAAACATAGCTCGTCAGCCCGGAAGCGACGATAATAGACCTAGCAGTGATATCATTGTGTCTTAAAATAACCTTTTTCTCATTTTCATTACTGTAAAGTTATGTGCACGATATTGAAGACTTTAGCCGGCGGACAGTTTGAAGGCACCTATGCTGAGATTCCAACCGCAGTGGTTGAAATATAACCACTGAGCTACCGGACCTAGAGGAATACAAGAATGATACATGCTGTTGTGGCGAGAGTCACAAGCACAATATTTCCACCCATGCCTTTTTACGTGACGTCTAAATGAGGGGGATGCGTGCAAGAAACACGAATTGTTCGCACATGGTGAGGCCCCCGTCGCTGAAGGAGGGTACGAACTAGTGATAGAAGCTCGTGGCATTTTGCTGGATAAGCCAGAAGTCCAAAATGGTTACCATTCGAGAGACGGCTTCTGTTGTAGGCCTAAGTAGTCACAGGGTGAATTGGCTTACAGTTCGCAACAGATAATAACTTCCATGGGAATTGCTCGTAGACAGACTTTAGTAGTACACAAGAAGAAAGATAAGCGCTTGAAGTCTATCGTGACTTCTTTCTCACAGGAGATTGGCGGGAGTTGGCTGACTAGAGGCTATCTGCGATTAAATGTGAGTGAGTGAGTGAGTGAGTAAGTAAGTAGCTCGGACGTCAGTTTGGGTGAACTGAAAGTTCAGCAACTCCACACAGGTCTAAACACTTCGTTTGGCTTCAATGTGCAGCACGAGTCATCTGGTGCCTCCACGCCAGTTCCACCTAGCACACAGGGGATGCTCGTGAGGATCACATGGGAGGATTGTCTTTACTTCAAAGTGGAAAGGAATCTGCAACCAAAGGAAACAGATGCTCATAGTGTTTGGTGAGTTGACGCGTACTCTGTTGCAGCCGCACCAAAGGAAGGATGCTACAGAGATCTACCCGACACCAAGTCGCTTGTGCTCGGCTAAGTTCACTGCAACGCACCCAAAAGTTCAGACAATAACGTCAGACAATCTATTCGTGGCTGGCGTTTCTCATGAGCGTTGGTCACTTCGCCCGTTTCGAATCGAGCGGTATCTAGCTCATATGCAGTCCGCTTAGGACGAGAGCTACAAGAGCACGACGTGATCATGGTGGCCAAATGTTTTTCTGTCATGGAAACTGTGGCCAGTCGGAAGGTTTGATGCATATGTTACAGTCCTGGTAGATAGTGCATGGTGCTAGATATGTTCGTCATTATTGGATTGCAAAGGAACTCGCGAAGCGTCTTCGAAGAGTTGGGAGTCGACGTCTTTTATCAAGTCTAAATTAATCGCTGTTCGGGGGCGCCAAACAACTGTGACAGTCGAAAGTATAGTCTCAGATGGCAATGTTGTAGAATATAGGTAACTCGGGGCGCTGACTGGTTGTTGGTCTGCTCACCGAATTTGGCAGCTAGATTGCAAACGTTTCATCACCTACCCATGTAACCCCACTGAAAATCTATACTGAAAAGCATAGATTAGCCACGCTTACAGGATGAAATCCCCATAAAATTCCCAAATGTCCTCACACTACCAAGCTTCTCTCTTTTTATCTAGTAGTTCCCTGTAGCCCTTCCATATCCATTGCTTGCTTTTACTTTTTATGTTTGTGACCATTCTGTCCAAAAATAAACGAAAGTAGCAAGGAAGTAGGTAAGTGTGTGTGAACGTGTCTGTATGTATGTAAGTACCAAGTTGGTAGGTGTTTGATAGTAGATATGTATCTTTAAGGCAACAAATGCAGCTCGTCAAGTTACGAGGGTCGGAACATTTTCAAACGTCGTTGAACAAAGAAACCGATTTTTCAATGCGAAAAAGTCAGTGGGAATACAGTTAATGGGGAACAATTCATGAAACAACAGCGCAAGATGAGAACTAATATGATCAAACTGAGATCTTTCCCTTTCCACATCACTTTTGTAAGTGATCAGGAACTCCACTGCTCCCACTCATGAGCATGCTGCCGATTTTTATTTCTACTTGCGTTTATCTACCATTGTGCTCTGAACTCCTGTTGGGTTAGTTTATCAAATGATCAGTCGAGCTGACAAGGTCCTACCCGGGAAAGATGTTAAGATGTGATAATTTCAATACTGCCGAGAGGTTCAGGCCCCTCGGTGTTGATCCTTTTCCTCCAAGAACATTGGACTCTTCTGAAATGGGCGCTTGCAATACCTTGTTCTTCCCACTCTTCCAGGATGCCACCTCCTGGTGGCAGTTTGGGATGCATATCTACGGGGTGTCTCATAATAGACGCAAAAGTTAATTAAGCAACTAAGCGTAGTTTATTAAAGAAAGGTAACAAAATATTTCATTATTATTAGCCACATAAAGGAGGTTTGTATGCAAGTGTTGCCATTTTTCTATCTGTGATGGATGTTAGTACGCGCATTAAAATTTTGAAACTCTATTATTCTCTTGGTGGAAGCGCCACAGCTGCACTTCGTGGTTACAAAACCAAACATGGCCTCATCAAAGATCCTTTCACCGTGTCGACCATTACACGCTTGATTGAGAAATTTGAGTCCACTGGATATGTATTGGATTTTCCTGGCAAAGGGAGAAAGTCTGTGAGTGATGAAAGAGCGCCGATTGTACAGAATGCCGTCGAGCAACTTCAGTCCCAGAGCACCATGAAATCTTCGTCAATAACTCAGGTGTCTCAGTTGACCGGCATTCCCCGCGCCAGCGTGCATAGTATTATGAGACGCCACCTTGGTGGTGTTAAGAGCAAGAATTGAAG